ACCATAGCCCATACCCTCCCCAATGTCCATAACCCCACCTCCCTCTCCCGACCCCTCTCCCCCCAGCAACCCTCAGTTTGTTTTGTGAGATTAAGAGTCTCTTATGGTCTGTCTCCCTCCTGATCCCATCTTGTTTCATTTATTCTTTTCCTCCCCCCAAACTTCCCACATTGCATCTCCACTTCCTCATATCAGGGAGATCCTATGATAGTTGTCTTTCTCTGATTGACTTATTTTGCAAGGCATAATATCCTCTAGTTCCATGCACATCATCGCAAATGGCAAGATTTCTTTTGATGGCTGCATGGTATTCCATTGTATATATATACCACCTCTTCTTTATCCATTCATCTGTTGATGGACGTCTAGGTTCTTTCCATAGTTTGGCTATTGTGGACATTGCTGTTATAAACATTCGGGTGTACGTGCCCCTTCGGATCACTACGTTTGTATCTTTAGGGTAAATACCCAGTAGTGCAATTGCTGGGTCATAGGGTAGCTCTATTTTCAACTTTTTTAGGACCCTCCATGCTGTTTTCCAGACTGGTTGCACCAGCTTGCATTCCCACCAACAGTGTAGGAGGGTTCCTCTTTCTCCGCATCCTCGCCAGCATGTCATTTCCTGACTTTTTAATTTTAGCCATTCTGACTGGTGTGAGGTGGTATCTCATTGTGGTTTTGATTTGTATTTCCCTGATGCCAAGTGATGTGGAGCACTTTTTCATGTGTCTGTTGGCCATCTGGATGTCTTCTTTGCAGAAATGTCTGTTCATGTCCTCTGCCCATTTCTTGATTGGATTATTTGTTCTTTGGGTGTTGAGTTTGCTAAGCTCTTTATAGATTTTGGATACTTTATAGATTTTGATATGTCGTTTGCAAATATCTTCTCCCATTCTGTCAGTACTACCTGCATTTTATCAGTCCCTAAGTCCTTAGCCTAAAATTTCCACCAATGTTTTTTGTTCCAGGGCAGGAGTGCTATTACCACTCCCATCGTTTCAGTTTTTATGTGCCCACAAGCCAACATCTCCCAGAGATCCTTGGTTAAAGGAAGACTTGAATGTCACTGAAGCAGCAGATGAGGACGGCGCCCCCACACTATGGGCCTGATTCCTGGCTGAGAAGGGGGGCAGTTAAGGCCATTAGTAGAAGAGGCCCAGGTGCGTCCTCTCCAAATCTTGCCCTAGCACAGGGCAGCCACTGAGCTGCTGGCCTGAGTTTTGGGGAGGGCTTTTGTCATTGAGCTGGAAGGCGGGGTCCCGTGCCTGGTCCTCAGAGCTGGGGAACAACTCCACACGGTGGTTCCAGCATCCCCTTTGGGTCTGAGGCTGGAGTCTTGCGTGGTAAGTCGGGAGGAGCAGGAGTGGGTGTATGGCAAAGCGCAGGACTCCAGAGGCACAGGGAAACCCTGATACACTTCATCTAGCTCCGGGGCCACAGGATTAGGGGGTGTCTTCAGGGTGTGTGCTGGCTCCGGGACTCAGGGGATGTCTACATCCAGGGACAGATTTCCGCGGAGTCCAACGAGCAGCATTGGCGGCTCTCCTTCAGGACAATTGCGGAGGTTACTGCAACCCGGGTCAGTAAAGGCGTCGTTGCCCAAGGACTCTACTCTCTAGGCGCCTGGACGCTGTTAGGGCTCCCAGGCAGGCGGGTGGGTACCCCCAGACGCCAGTCGGTCTGGGATCTCACGCTAGCGCGTGCGCCTCGATTTGCGCCTGCGCGGGGCCGCCGTCGCGGCACAGCGGGAAGGCGCGAGCGTGCAATGAATCCCACCGCGGTCGGCTGTCGCCGCGGTCTCCCCCAGCGGACGCCCAGCACAGCCCACAGGTGGCCGGTGTAGTGTGGACGGCCAAGCGTACTGTGTCCATCTTGGTCAAGTTCAAGCACCCAGGGAATTTCACTCACAGCTCTTGCTCTGATGGCAAGGACTGTAGATAAGCCTCCTCGCTCCCCGGAAGTTCAGCCCCCTTACCTAACCCCGGTTTCCTTTCTGGAGTACTTTTCGCCTTATGTGAAGGATGCCTGTGAAACTTTTCTGCATGGGATTTCTGTCGCCAACTGACATTCTAGCAACACGATTCTTCTCATTTCCCCAATCTATCTGTCCTTCAGTGTGTCTCTGTGTATATAAATCTGTGGGGCGGGATCATGGTGGTGGAAATCATCCTTTTTATTGCCAGGAGCATCTTTGCAAGTCTAGGATTTAAATTTTCCCGTCTGAGAAAGAGGTTTCTGTTCAGTTCAAGTCCTCAAAATTATTCACTTTCTAATGCTAGTGGATATACGGATTGGGAGTCAGGGTAATTCCTCTTATAAAGACAATAATCTGAAGCTAGATTATTGTCCAGTCAAGGTACCCAACATACCCTATAGCAAATGTTAACTATTTTCATTTTATTTATGATTGAATTTGTCCTTTGTCGTGAATATATATTCATTAATGGAATGTAAGGATATCCAAAATTAGTAACTAGACTAACGATATTTTTAAAATTTACCAGTGATTACTTGGTTTATTATGACTGTATGACCCATCACCTAAAGACAATATAGGGACACTTCAGTTTATTTTAAAAGAAAGAAAATACCCACAGAAGCTTTCCATTTAATTTGACAGGTAAAAAGAAGTGCACGAGATCTTTGGAGGTTTCAGAATAGAAATTGCTATGGCTTTAAGCCCTTGTTATCTGAACTGATTTTGCTTTATCTGAGTGCCCAGGCCTTTTGTGACAAGAGTAATCTAGTTGGTTCTTCTATTTCTTTTTCTTTTCTTCTTTTCTTTTCGATAGTGTACAATGAATTTAAATAGAATATAATACATCTTTTCTACAGAAGCAAATCCAAAATGTTTAAATTGCATTCCACTGATGTATAATTGGGGTTTAATTAAACCCTTCATTGCTTTAACCATAGCAGAGGAATGACATTTTTTAGTTATAACTAATAGTTGAAATCTTAAAAAACAGGAATCAAAAAGACCTGTGCTAACTGGTTGTTTGCTTACCTCTTTTTCAGAATATTAAAAACAAGCACATTCGTCCAATAAATACTTTGCCACACAGTGTTTTTGGGGTAGAAATCCTTTGCTCTTTTCATTCCCAACTCGGTGTTCAGTCTGCACATTTGAGATACCTTGAATTATTTTATCCATGTCTCTAAGATCACCTTGGAATCTTGTCATTTATAAAGTCCATTTAGCCTCTACTCAGATAAATCCATGTGTTTCTAGACTGTTAGAAATGTCAGCAAATATATCTGAGGTACGACAGCATTTTTTTTTTAAGATTTTATTTATTTATTTGACAGACAGAGATCACAAGTAGGCAGAGAGACAGGCAGAGAGAGAGGAGGAAGCAGGCTCCCCGTTGAGCAGGGAGCCCGATGTGGGGCTTAATCCCAGAACCCTGGGATTGTGACCTGAGCCGAAGGCGGAGGCTTTAACCTACTGAGCCACCCAGGCACCCTGACAGTGTTTCTTATATAGGAATTTTGAAGAGTGCTTTTTGCTGGGCTAAGAAATCTATGAATGCTTTGATTGTTTATTAGGAGATTAAGGGATTTTAATTACTAATATTTACCTGGGATCTGTAAACCAAGAATGAATAAATGAATTTCATTACTATCTATGAGCTATAAAGATTTCCAGGCCCTTGGGTGAAAGTTGAGATCAAACCAGGTCAGCCTATGTTCTTAGTGCTCTGGTAGAGGACGAGCAGAGGCACATACAAAAAGATGAGCAGATATTTAATGAGATGATTCTAAGAGTATGGTACTCTGAAGAAATGTTATGATGTTATGAAGAAAATAAGAAAATGAAGTGTTAAAGACAAAGATTCGTTAGGGTAAACCTCTCTTAAGAAGGTATCATTAGAGACAAATGATGACAAGCCAGCAATCTGAACATCTGAGAGAGGAGAATTCAAGGCAGAAGAAATACGCCACCAACGAAAAAAGACAATGGGATGGGGGTATTTCCTATATTCCTTCTGTTAGCACTCCTAATAATCTGATTTTTCTGGCCCTCTCAAGACCATTGCCTCTCACAGAATCTAAACTTAAAATGATAATTGACAGACTAAATTTCTGGGCTAAAGCTAGCAAGGTGAAATGTGATTGATATGAATGTACAATGGTACATAAAATTTCACAAACTTAGTTACACAGCACAGAGTGATAACCACGTGTCTTGGCAGCTGTTCATATGAGAACAATCTGGGGATTCTAACTGAGCACAAATTGGAGCTTGCTCTTTGCTGTTCCTGCCTGGAAAAAAACAACATTTAGATATTACCCTCAGGCAGCTTTCCGCCCAATTTAAGGTATCATTATAGCTGTCCAAAAATGGAACAGGCTGCTACAGTAGGTTGGGAAATCTTCATTGTTTAACTCATTAAAAAAAAAAAAGAAGAAGAAGAAGAAGAATGAATACCCATCAGGGCTTTTGGAAAAAGTAAATTCTGTATTGTTTGGAGACTAGTTTAAGTTTAGTTTAATTTTTTGGTTTCTGTGAGTCTGTGGCTTGTTAGTTGTTTCTTTTATGACAATAAACTTTTCTTCATTTTGGGATAGGTTTATATGGTTAAGAAGAAAAAAATGACATTGATATGTAAGGTATATGGTGAAGTTTACCAAAAGTTTAGTTTGTAATGGCATTTCTCAAAAATAGTAATCTGGAGTTTAAAATTCTTGGACTATAGTTTTAAAAGAATTTAGAATTAGTTCTAGTATTTCTTTGGCCAAGTAGAATAATAAAAATAGATATAAATAAATATAGCTTGGTTTGCCTGTGTTAGCTGTATAACATAGTTTATGTTTCTGCACTTCACTTTCCTCACAAGGAGGACAGTAACTTGTACCTGCCTTAAAAGATTGTTACTAAGATTTAATTATTTGCTGTATATCAAGCAATTAGAGCAGTGCCTCGCATTAGTAAATGCTATGGAATTGTTCACTATCATTATTATTAAAAGTAAATGTATGCTCTATTCTGCCTTCAGGAATTAATGACCAAATTAATAACTGAAACGCCTGACCAGCCAATCCCATTTCTCATTGACCATCTTCAGTCTAAACAAGGAAACCATGGACAACTTCAAAGAACTTTATCTGGATCTGCAGCTCTCTGGGCAGAAAGTGAAACATCAGGTAAGTGAAAAATATTTTATAGTTGATTTTTATATATTTAATGTAAAAATGTACAAAAGTCTTTCTGATTATAATAAAATAAATGTGGATGGTTATCAAGGGTTTCATGTATTCATTTGCAGCTTCACTCATATGCTAAGGTTTCATTCATGTGTGAAATTTAAGAGAAAAAGCTAATGAACAAATAAATAAAGAAAAAATGACAAAGAAGACTTAAATACAGAGAACACACTGATGGTTACCAGAAGGGAGGGTAAAGGGTGGGGGAATTGGGGTAAAATAGACAAAAGAGATCAAAAGCATACTTAGTTTGGTGAGCACTGAGTAATATATAGAATTGTTGAATCATTATATTGTACACCTGAAATTAATAACAACACTGTATGTGAATTACACTTCAAAAAAGAAAAAATTCCAATTTGTCATAAAATACTCTTGATTATGAATATATTGTTATATAATATGCTATGTTTTATGCTTTAAAATATGGGAATCTGTGTGTGTTCAATTTTAAGATTGAGATTTACATGAAAAGATTTCATTTGGTGTGAATTCTAATTAATTATTCTAAGGTTATTTCTTTTCTTTTCATGAAGAATTTGAATTAAATGCTCATAGCTTATCTATAGAAAGAAAGGTAAACAAAAATTTTTAAAAAGTTACCTTTCACTTTTCCCAAACTGATGATGATTCTCTATTTCCTGTGGTGCCTATTTTTATCTTATGTAATAAGTTTAACTTTAGGAAGATGCGTTTACTCCGGGCATTGGGGAACCAACCTTACTAAGTCTGCAATAGCCTCGTCTCCCCAGTAAGCACCGGTTAAGATAATTGGGTAGACCCGACATCAGTCTTTACTCATGAATTGTGTGTCTGACAGCTTTTTTATTCTATATACGGATTTGTTGGTTTGGCACTTACTTCTAAAACTGATTTCCTGTGCCTGTTATGTCAATAGCCATCTCCTTGCCTAATTCCCCTGGGAATCTGACTGACAGGACTCCAGATGTGTTCCCAACATCTGTACTTTTCTTATCCTCCTCATGCTTTATGAGATCCCCTGAAAGGATTTTGGTCTTCTTTGGCTATATTCTCATATTAGTACCTTCTTGAGACCATGTCTTAAAGCCACAGTAAAGTGGGTAGGGAATAGGGTATCCTCTGAAAGAATGTAGAGCTCTCTGCTGGCAGTTATCCATACAGAAGATACCTGCATTATACAGGAAGCTAGGATACAAACTTTTGGCATAGAAAAGAGAGAACGCTTACAGTTTCCTGGCTTCACTTTCTTGGGTTTAGATTCTAAGTAGCATGGTTATATAGGCATGAACTCTGGTTTGTAGGTGCAAAGATGGCACCCATCATGTAAAGGCAGACCATATGGAGTCTGTGAGCCCAGTGAAGCTCATATGAGCCCATATTTATAAACTATAGTATCTGGAGAGATAGTAGTATGTTCGACTCTGCAGTTCCCATGTTTAATATCTCATACTTTCCATGGGTCAGAAGTCTGTAACTAACACAAAAGATCCTCTGTCAGATCTCACAAGGGTGAAAATCAAGGTATTGGCTGGGTTGCATTTTCATTTGGAGGCTGAAATAAGAAAGAACCTGCTTCCAAACTCATTCAGGTGGTTGGCAACATTGATTTTCTTGCAGTGGTATGACTAAGGTTCCTGTTTTTGTGCTGAATTTTAGGCTGGGGTTGCTGTCAACTCCAAGAAGCAATCTGCAGTTCTTGCCACATGACTCTTTCACATCATGGCAGCTTGCTTCTTTAAAATCAGCAAGGGAATTGCTGTCATTCAGTCTACTTAATATATATAACATAACATAATCATAGCATTGACATCCCATCATTTTTACTATATACTGTTGGTTTGAAGCAAGTCAAGGTCCAATCTACTACACTTAAGGCGAGGGAATTATATAAGACATAATGTCAGGGGCAGAGATCATGGGGATCATCTTCGAATTCTGAGTAGTACAAGTACTGATGACTTACTACTTGGAGAGGGAGAAGGAGGGGAGGAGATTATTATGACTCCCAATTCACTGACTTGGTTAATGGCATAAATGCTTATTTAACAAAGACAGGTGGGAACAGAGGAGTAAATTTGTGAAGAACAATAACAAGTCCACTTCCTATTGATGACTTTGAGTTTTTGTGAGGCATCATAGTAGATAATTCCAGCAGGAAGTTAGATATGAGTCTAAAACTCTGGGATGGGTCAAGGCAGGAGTCACAGTGTGGCATTCAGTATCATACCTCATAATCATTAAAGTTACAAGAGTGAGAGAATGGAAGAAGTTGTGGTCAAATTTGCCAGGAGAGTGGGAGATGAACTAGGGGAAGGCAAGGGTGAAATTTTATCTGATGCCTGAAATTTTGTCTTTTTTATCAAGAAGTGAGGTTGTTTGCTGAGGACAAGAGGGTTGGGATTTAAATTGTGAAAAGTCACCAAGGAAAAGGAAAAAATAGCTGGCAAAGGAAAAAAAAATGACGGAGGCAGTTCTGGAACCTCTCGGAAGTCAAAGACACGAATGACTCTTAGCAACCATCAGCACAGTTGTGATTTTCTCCAGCAGTGCCCAGAAGCAGTGGGAAGGGAGCAGAGCCAACAGTTTGAGGGACTGAGAATTGTGGTTGTGGCATGGCTAGGGTGGAGGTTGGAAGAACAGTTTTGCAGAGCAGTGAGGACATTTGTGAGCCGTTTATTCAAGTGATCAAAGCGCATGGTCTGGCATGAGAGGGTAGTGAGCAAGGATAGGAAAAGAATTAGACAAAAAAGCAAATCAGAGAGCTGAAGATAAAGACCTATAGAAGGCTGGTGGTGCAGGAATAGGTGCAGTGAAAATCTGAGAGTGATTAGAAGGACAGGAGATCGTGATATTTGAGATAAAGATTTCTGAGGTGGGGTGAGTCCAGGTGATGAGATGGTCCTGTTGGTAGCCTTAGTTGTGGGGTATCTTAATAATCAGGGAAGTGAAGACTTTCAGAGTTAGGGAGGACAACGAAATATGAAACTTAATGCATGATTAGTCTGAGGATTAAGAAGATGAAACCAGGGACGCTTGGGTGGCTGCTTTCAGCTCAGTTCATGGTCCCAGTATCCTAGGATCCAGGCCCTCCTGGAGCTCCCTGCTCAGCAGGAAGCCTGCTTCTCCCTCTCCCACTCCCCCTGCTTGTTTTCCCTCTCTCGCTGTGTCTCTGTCAAGTAAATAAATAAAATCTTAAAAAAAAAAAAAAAGATGAAACCAGGGTTGCATTCAAGTTGTTGAAAAGTCAAGGGAGACTGTGCCAATGTTTTGAGTTCAGCTGTGGAGTAATCAGGAGTAGAGCAGTGGCCACACTGAGGAGCAGTGAGTAGTGTAGACAGGCAGCAGTTACCACCAGAGAGGAGGGACTTCCAGCTTAACCCTGCTGGGCCAGGAAAACCCAGCCTGTGGCTGGGACCACATGGGGGAATGAACCCTCCATTCCAGGAAGCTGCAGAGGAAGGAATGCTCTTGTGGAAAGAGTGAAGTCTCTTAAAACATGAAAGGAGGGGGGTCTTGAGAATAGAAGAGTGTTTGCTTGCCATGGAATGTATGTCCCAGGAGGAGAAGGGGCAAAATTTTAGAAAGAAAGAGTATGACAGGAGAGAGAAGGAAAGCACAGGGTAATTCTTGGATATGAATATAAGTGATGAAGTTATAATTTGGGTGACAGTATTAATGCCAGTTTACAGCTTGGCTGCAGTTTCGAATTGTTTCCTCTGGTGCATGTTCTGATTAGCTAGAAATTATCTCAATAGTCAAAGTATTTTGGTATAATATCTCTTGAAAATATCTAAAGTTGTCCTCTTATTGTCATCAAATGTACTAGCAAATCAGGACACATCGTCATCTAAAAGTCTGCCATTTAATATTACTGTGCAGAAACATGAAGTCTTCCTTATTTTTATTTTTTAGATATCTAGTTATTTTTCTTAAGTACTTATGGAATTTGTTTTCTCTTTCTGATATTGACAAGTTTTACTGGGAATATATCTCGACAATTATCTTTTTTCTTTAGATTTTTTTCTTACATTCAGTGAATCTTTTCAATTAGCAAATCCAGGTCTTCAGCCTAAAACTGTTTTCCTCTTGTGTACTTAGTTATTGTTTTCATTATATTTGCTTTCTATTTCTTCTTCAGAAGATCAGCTATGTGTAAATTGAGTTTGCTTTGCTGTTCTTCATTCCTCCCATTTCATTTCACATTATATTTGCCTTTCTTTGTTGACTAACTTCTGGGGAGATTTGTCAAGTGTGCTCTCTGTGTTACTGATTCGATTTTCTGCAGTATCAGTTTTCTCTCTTTGGCTTTGAAAACAAATTTAAATGTCGGTATTGCATTTTGGTTTACTGTCAGCATTTCCTTATCTTCTTTATTCATTTCTGTTTGCAGTTATATTTTATTGTAGGCTAGTTGATTAACCTGTCTCCTCTCACATTTTTTTTTTGTTCCATAGAATCCATTTTCTTTATTTTTATTAAGAAGGCAATTAGCCATGTTCTAAAATATAAAGGTTTTTCAGGGTAAAATTTTCTAAAACTATGAATTTTCTTTGTATCTTGAGTGCTGTGTTCTTGCTTTTCATATTGAAAATTTTTTAGAATTATTTTTTCCATTTATTCAAATTTAAATGAGGAGTATTCTATCTAGTTTTAGGTTTATCAATTAATAATATAGTTGGACTCTTCTTTGTCCCCTCAAGGACAATTTGGATCCCTTCCATACATTTTACAGAGAAAAAATCATGACTGCTCCTAAAATTCCATTATCAGTTGAATCCTATGGGTCTCTCCAATAATCATGAGTAACTTTGTCTCATCTTGTTTTCTACCAACTAAATACGAACAGTATTATTGCTAGATTATTTAAGTTAATGTGGATTTTTCTCCTAGCCTATAGTGGAAAAATTAAAAAGCCACAAAATCCAGTATGCTATTCCCCCCTTGTTCTTTTTAGCCATTTTGTTTGTATCATGAAATCCTTTGTTTTATGATCAGGATTCCTTGTTCCTTTAGCCGTGTTGCATTAGAAGATATTATAGTCCTAGGATGGATTCCCATAGAACAACAGAAACAGATGACTTTGATACAGGGGCAAGTGTCAGGGATGCCTAGAATTCTTCCAGTCCTTTTCTTATTTGCCTGTCTTTTGTCTTATTTCTATCTGTGGAAATATGTCCCGCATTTTGGCAGACCACAGACCGATATTTCTGTTCCTAGAGTTTTAGAATATTTGTACCTCTTTTGGTATTGAATGCCATGTTGGAAGTTCATAAAATTAGGAACAGCTAGTTTAGTACAATCTTCAAATATAAATTTGAGGAATCCATATAATGTTTCATGATTTCTATTTGGTATTTACAAGTGGGTGGCTAGAGAAAGATTGGGGAGTCATTCATAAAGCTAGGATGATTTGACAACTTATAAATTTATACAAGAAGGCAGAAGGAAACTCTAAAGTTTAAGGAATGTCACATAGATGAAAGAGGAAGATGAGGAAGCAATGAATGAGACAGAGAAGGAAGAGTCAAATGGTTGATATAGAGATGAGGAGGATGTAGGGCCCTGAGTATAAGCGAAGAAAATATTCCACAAAGATAGGCCTGTCTAAAAATATGAAATGCTTGGCAAAGTTGTTGAGAAGGATGAATTCTTGGAAAGATCATTTAATTTGGGAATTGATATAACTTTGACCACCTTTGAAAGGGAGCTATAATTGAACAAAGTTGGTTGAATTACCCTTTCTTTAATAGAGAAGTGGGAAAAAATGAGTGATTCTAGGGAAGGAATGTAGGTGACAATCAGTGGTTTAATGTGTCTTAGTGAAAAATAGATAAGGTAAAATCAGATGAGTAAAATTTACATAAATGTTTAGTTGTTTTTTTATTTATATATATATATATATATATATATATATATATTCTAAAGATTTCTCTATTTACCTTTGAGAGAGAGAGAGAGAGTGTGTGTGTGTCAGGGGAGGGACAGAGGAAGAGAATCTTCAAGCAGGCTTCCCACTAAGCGCAGAGCCCTGCACTTGCCCCATCTCACCACCCATGAGATCATAACCTGAGCTGAAACATAGGGCGGGTTCCCTGAGGGACCGAGCCACCCAGGAGCCTCAGTTGTTTTAATTTACATTAGAATACAGTGCTTTATTCCCTAATACCCATTTAAAGAACGTTATTTTAAGTAATGGTAATCCATGCCTTAAAGAGTCATTCTAAAAGCCTTTCACAGTTTAACATGATCTTAATCATATTAATATACAAATTGAATCACATCAAATTCAAAACTAAAATCTACAGGAGAAATTAAGCAAGAAATGCTTTTGAATACTTGCATTTTTTTTGATGTGAGGTGAACTATAGCTTTTGCCAGGCATGTCTAATGACTTCACAGGTTTAGTTTTTGATCAATCTTGAAATCATTTATCGATGGTTTATATATATATTGTTTGTTTGTTTGTTTTAACAGAACATAAAGGAACAAGAAGGGATTTCAGAAGTTATGATAAGCCTTGGCAATTAAGTGCAAAGAAGCCTAAAAAGTCAAAAAGTGACCTTGCTGTGTCTAACATTTCTCCACCATCACCAGAATCCAAATCATGTAAGGAATTTTGTCATTCAAATGTTACTTAATGTATGTAAGTATGTATTACTAACGAAATGAAGAAAAGGTAAGAATTGAAGTCAAATTTTTTATGTGATATTTCTGGCTGTTAATCCTAATGAATGTCATGTTCATTTCAGCATTATACACGCACTCATATGCTCAAGCATGTTTAATTGATTTAGACCTTCTTGAGTATAATAGTCTTTTAAGAATATAAGCTACCTGGAGCAGGTTCCTTGCCTGTCATGTTCAGTTGCAGTGTTGTATCACATTCAAGGCAATTCTAGACCTACATTTAATAAAGGACATTTAATAAAGCAAATTAAATCTTTTAGAGGGGAAGGAAAGGATATTTATATTAAAAAATTAACAAAATTTAAATTCTTAATCCTTTTCTTTTAGCCCCCTCAAATTCTACTTCCTCAGAAATATTTTGTATATTTTCACATCCTTTGAAATAGTTTGCATCTTTTCACATCCTTTTCTTTGTACAACTAGCATATAAAGTATGTGTGAGTTGATTTGCCTTATAAAACTGGCTTTAGACTGTACACATTCTTCAGCAATTTGTTTTTATTATTTTAGAATGTGTTGTGGATATATCTTCATGCTAAACTTAGATATAAATTATACTTTTTAAGAAGTGTATACTGTAGTATGCTGTGAATGTGCCATAATCTATTTATTCCCCTGTGGGAGAATGGTTAGATTGATTATAGAGTTTTGCCTCCACAAACTACTACCTGAAATAAATGAATATCTTGCAATTTCTGATAAAATAAACAACATACCTACATAAATATAGGTGTTCTCATTTCTTTATGATAATTCACCAGATATAAGATTACTGAGTCAGAGGATCCGTGTATTTTTATTATTTCCAATTTCTTTTTTATAAGTAAATATTTCCAATTACTTTTTTAAAAGGGAACAGAAAAAATATTTCGGTGTCTGAGATTGCCTTTGACAAAGCATTACCATATATATATTTAATTATTTTATTTTAATCAAAACAAAAAAATACGGTTTGAAAAGTAAAGTAGTATTATAGGCTTCTAATATAGAGCCACTTTTAACTCTTTTAGATGTTCCTTTTGGTACACAAATGTACATATCCAAACATACAAGTTGCTTACATAGTTCCCTTTTTTACTTTTTAAATTTGAGGCATCATCTCTTGACCTCCTTCTAAGACATTGTGGTTTCATACCTCAGGCCCATTTTGTCCTCACAATACAATCATGCAAGTATTTCAAATATTGAATATATACTACACAACAATTTTGTATTAATTAGCCATAATTTCACAGTAGGGCCATAGATGTCCAACTATTAATTTGTTTCTAGAACTTATAATTGTCTTGTTTTTCTATTTGCTTTGTTTTCTGTGTACCCCTCACTAATGTTTCACCAAACCTTGCCTTATCATATTCAGCTCAATATGATCAAATACATCAAGTAATTCTAACTTTGATCTTACTTTATTTTATATTTTATTTCATTAAAAAAAATTGGAGACCTCTCTTCTGCAGCCCTTTGCCTTCTTGCTCCATCATGGCTTCTTGGTTTTTAGCATTTTTCTCAGCTGTGTTCTGAGACTATCCCTCACTGCCATCCTGAGGATTCTCTTTTCCTCCTTCTTGTGGAGGACCGTCTGTCTCCTGTCTCCACATCTTTTTTCCACTTTTAGGTTTATTTATTCATTTTGATGGCTCACCTTCACTACAGGTTTTCTGAACAAGAATGATTGCAAGATAAATATTTGAATCCTTATAAATAACTTGATTAGTTCCTCAGTTGGGTATAAAATTCTAAGTTAGAACTGATTTTCAGTTGGAATTTTGAAGGAATTTCGTCTGTGTCTTCTGGGGCAAGTATGGCTATTAAGAAGTCTGAGAAGAACTTGATTGCTGTTTCTGTCCCTGAAAGCTTTTAGGATCTTTTTCTTTTTTGCCACTGTTGTAAAATTTGGGGATAATATGGTTTACATTGTTTAGGACATTTAATGGATCCTTCCAATCTGAGAAATGGAGTTTTATGTCCTTATTGCTTTGGCATTTGTCCTCCTTGATTGGTGCTTGAGTGTTGAAATGTTATGAAATATCCACCTTTTTGGGCATCTCTCTCCTCAGGGACTAGATTTCGGTATTCTCTACTTTGCTAGATACAGTTACCACTCCTCAATTTATACTGCTTCTTCCAAAAAAAAAAAAAATTGCTATTTCTTGCCTAATAATGTCTTCTCTTCTTGTTTGACTAATAATTTGACCCAAACAAAATTTAATATACTTTTATTAGGAATGTGAGGGAGGTGAAGGGAGATGTGTTCTGTCTTCTCTTTTATCAGAAGATAGCAAAATGTCTTAAAAATATATACTAATTGCTGATGAAGAAATTAGAAATTTTTAAGCTACTAGAAGATGATATAAAATATTTCTTGCTTGTATGTTTTCCCTAAGTTACAGAAGTCACTAACTGTTAACAGTGCCTGAATTTTCTTTTTTCTGTAAATAGTCACACTTCCCTTTTACGAGTTCAATTAAAACATTTCTTAAAATCCAGCTTCATAACTTCCCTCTGTTTGCTCACAAGGAAACTATTTCCAAAACAAACATTTTTATTCTGTACATTGATCTTGATACAGTCTTTCACATAATGATGAATAAGTAAATTTTTATCATTATGTAGCATGCTTATGAAGTAATCATTTTTTTTAAAACATAGTGCCAAGGTCAGTAGATCATCCTAAGTGGAACTGGCGAATTAAACCACAAAGCCGTGATTTTGATGAATTGAACCACATCCTTCAAGAGAGCAAGAAGCTGGGAAAAGCCCTTGAGAATCTCTCTCGAAGTAAGTTCATTTACTTGATTATAATTGAAATTCCTAACCAATATTAAAGTAGAAACATTTATTACTATTGCCAGGAACCCATTTCCTACATCCTCATAATTACATGAGAGGTTGTAAGAGAGTGCATGAGATTGGAAATGAGGATTGATCTTGCATTTTCTACATGCTCCTGGGAAGACAGGTACAGAGAGTAGGAGGAGCTATAGACACCCCCCGCCCCACCCTGTCCCTTGCCATTTGACTCCAGTCTCTCTACCAGTTCTATGTTACGCAGGTCAGTTGCACACATACAATGGTATCTTACTCACTCTTCTCTTTTGCACCTGATTGTTCTGTGTCATCCTAAAAAGTAAACACACCTATTGCTTCCATGAGTGTTTGATTTCTCTAAACTTTTTAAAAAAATTCTTTATTTAAATTTAGTTACATATCATATATTATTAGTTTAAGTGGTAGAGTTCAGTGATTCGTCAGTCGCAAATAACACCAAGTACTTGTTACATCAAGTTCCCTCCTTAATGCCCATCACCCAGTTAACCCATGCCCCCACCCACCTCCCTTCTGGCAAACCTCAGTTTTTGTTGTTTTTTTTTTTTAAAGATTTATTCACTTATTTATTTATTTATTTGACAGAGAGAGGGGGACAGAGGCAGAGGGAGAAGCAGACTCCCTGTTGAGCAGGGAACTCGATTTGGTACTTGATCCCAGGACACTGGGATCATGACTTGAGCCAAAGGCAGACACTTAACTGACTGAGCCACCCAGACACCCCTCAGTTTGTTTATTACAATTAAGAGTCTCTTATGGTTTTACCCCCGTTTTTAATCTTATCTTATTTTTCTTTCCCTTCCCCTATGGTTATCTGTTTTGTTTCTTAAATTCCACACACGAGTGAAGTCGTATGGTATTTTTCTTTCTCTGACTGACTTACTTCACTCAGCATAATACCCTCTAGTTCCATCCATGTCATTGCAAATGGCAAGATTTCATTCTTTTTTATGATTGAATAATATTCCTGTGTGTATGTGTGTGTATGTATATACCACATCTTGTTTATCCATTCATCTGTCAGTGGGCATCTGGGCTCTTTCCATAGTTTGCTATTGTGGACATTGCTGCTGTAAATATTGGGGTGCATGTGCCCCTTGGAATCACTATTTTTGTATCCTTTGGATAAATATGTAAGAGTATAATTGCTGGGTCATAGGGTAGTTCTATTTTTAACCTCTTGAGGAACCTCCACGCTGTTTTCCAGAGTGGCTACACCAGTTTGCATTCCCTACCAACAGTATAGGAGGGTTCCCCTTTCTCTGCATCCTTGCCAATATGTCATTTCCTGACGTGTTAATTTTAGCCATTCAGACTGGTGTGAGGTGATATCTCATTGTGGTTTTGATTTGTATTTCCCTGATATCACTGATGTCTCTAAACTTCAAATGGTAGCAACTGGGGCACATTCTTCTTAAAATCCTTTCAGAACCTAGCAGCATACTTTTCTGTAAAAATAATGATTCTGTAATAAAAGGCCTAGGTTATAGGTTTTGCTCTGCCACTTATTAATAACCTCGGGTAAATCATTAAACTTCTAATGAGCCTTGGTCCTCTCATCCCCAGAGAAGGAAGACACAATTCTGTTTCCTTTTTCTGGTAGGTGTGAAAGTTTAAAATAATATACTTCAAGTAAAAGCTTTTAAATATTACTGTCATGAGAGTAGGCTATCGAATACTTGATTTGATAAATGCATTCTATATATGTAGACATACATATATATACCTGTGGTTTTAGTAATGAGTTCAGAGTATTCCTACCTTTCTCTGGTTCTTAAATATATCTCAATTTTAAGATTAGATACCTTTAGAAGCACATTAATGCCATAGTCTCACTAAAATTTTCTTTTGCTGTCATGAAATATTAAAAATTCCTAAGTTGAAAATAGCATACTGGCATGTTCTAGTGGATTATCTTTTAAGATCTATATGGTTCTTTAGATAGCATAGTTTTACTAGTTTTATGATGTATCAAAGTTAAAAATGCCTGGGGGGATGAAAAAATTGGGTGAAGGTGAGTGGGAAATCTAAGCTTCCAGTTACAGAATGAATAAATCATGGGAATAAAAGGCATAGCGTAGGGAAACAAAAAAATAAAAAATTTCCCCTTGGTATATTTTGAGAGAAATAATGTATATATCATATGTGTATATATGTATATTTGTATATTGTAGTAGGCTATAATTATACATATTTGCACATTAATTTTATATTATAATTTTATATATAGAAAGAGATTGAGTTTTTTCATACATCTTAGTGCATAACTCACTAGAGCCTTTTTGAACTTTTGTGTGGTGAACCCATGGCACAAGCTAATTTGCCCTATGGTAGAATCTTATAATTTTTCAACTAAGTTTTTAATTTTAATTCCAGTATAGTTAACATATGGTATTATATTAGTTTCAGGTGTACAATATAGTGATACAACAGTTCTATACGTTACTCAGTGCTCATCGTATGTGTACTTTTTAATCCCTATCACCTATTCTACCCATCCTCCTCCCACCGCCCTCTGGTAACCATCAGCTTGTTCTCTATAATTAAGAGTCTGTTTCTTGGTTTATCTCTCTTTTTTTCTCCTTGTTCATTTGTTTTGTTTCTTAAATTCTGCATGTGAGTGAAATCATATGGTATTTGTCTTTCTCTGACTGACTTATTTCACTTAACATTATATGCTCTAGTTCTATCCATGTTGTTGTAAATGGCAAGATTTCATTCTTTTTTATGGCTGAATAATATTCTATTATATATATACACTACATCTTCTTTATCCATTCATCTATCAGTGGATACTTAGGCTACTTCTATAGTTTGGCTGTGGCAAATAATGCTGCAGTAAACAGGGATTATGTATCTTTTTGAATTAGTGTTTTCATATTGTTTGGGTAAACTCAGTTGTAGGATTACTAGATCATATGATAATTCTATTTTTATTTTTTTGAGGGCCTCCATACTGTTTTCCACAGTGGCCGAGCCAGTTTGCATTCCCAACAGTGTACAAGGGTTTCTTTTTCCTGCACATCCTCCCCAACACTTGTTGTTTATTGTGTTTTTTATTTTAGCCATTCTGACAGGCATGAAGTAATATCTTATTATGGTTTTGACTTGCATTTCCTTGACGATGAGTGATGGTGAGAACATTTCCACATGTCTGTTTGGCCATCTGGATGTCTTGTTTGAAGAAATATCTGTTCCTGTCTTCTGCCCATTTTTTAAATGGATTATTTATTTTTAGGGGGCTGAGTTTTATAAGTTCTTTATAGATTTTGGATACTAACCTTTTACAAATACTTTTTCCCATTCTATGAGTTACCTTTTAGTGTTGTTGATTATTTCCTTTTCTGTGCAGAAGCTTTTTATTTTAATGTAGTCCCAATAGTTTATTTTTGCTTTTGTTTCCTTTACCTCAAGAGACCTTTCTAGAAAAAAGTTGCTACGGCTCATGTCACAGAAGTTACAGCCTGTGCTATCTTCTAGGATTTTTATGTTTTCAGGTTTCATATTTAGGTCTTAATCCACTTTGAGTTTATTTTTGTGTATGGGGTAAGAAAGTGGTCCACTTTCATTCTTTTGCATGAAGCTATCCAGTCTTCCCAGCGCCATTTTTGAAGAGATTGTCTTTTTCCCGGTGCATAGGATCTTGTAATTTTGCCATTAGTAGACATCTTATGGTTGGGATTCAAGAAGGCCCTGCTTTTGGCTAGATTTATTTTTGGAAGAAATAATCATAAAGTGAGTACAGCTTATTACTGTATTATGTTCATGAAATAAGTCTTATCCTATTAAATGTCAAAGGTTTTTATTAATGTGTATAAATCTTACCCCTTTGGGCAGAGCCTGTGGCTCTTCATAGCCTCTCAATTTATCTAAAAACATGAGTTTAAAAATGATTGAAGAATATGCCTAATTATTAGACAGATCTGCAAATAGCATATTAGTCAATTTTTGTTCTTTGAAATATGATAACTTCCTTACAGAGACTTGTTATATCACTGTTAATTGGTAAGAAAATATTTGGCCTGTTCCTAAAACTTTTAATAAAGGAGTTGGGTTGCCTTTCACTTATGTATTTACCAAGATGTGGAGCAGAAATACCAAGGTTCAAGCAGTGGTCTGTCCCAAGAAAACCTAGGTGTGACCATATAGGTGGCACCTAGCAACTTATTCAGACTTAAATTCTCTGTTCCCTCTTTCTTGACAGGATTCAAATAATAACAGGAAAGACTAGATATTCTCTCCAGTTCACAAACAGGATTTTTGTTTTAGTAGCAATTATACCGTGCTTCTTTTTCCTAGCTTTTTGCAAACCTTTCAATGTAATGCTTTATCTTAAAGTCAGTCAGGAGCTATGTAATTCTTCATGCTATGATTCTCTTAAAAGGTAGATCTGCTAGAAAAACTTGCAGTGGCTTGTAATGCGGCTTGGTCATGATGTGTAGACAGTAGATTTTTTGTGCCTGGATCCCTCCCTTTGCAGCATTTCTGAACATTCTTTAAACATGACTTTCTTATTCTAGGAGCCTGGACTCCTGCCCTTTCCTTCAAATGTTTGTTTCCATCTGACTTTCAAGTAGTGAGAAAAATTGCTTCTAAATAGGGAAATTCAGAAGATACAAGACCCTCACATCCCCAAATAATGTATCTCTTCTAGTGGCTGTGATTGAAAGGCCTTAGGATAATATCTTTCTCAGTGCATTCTATTAGGGCCCATCATCTTATTACTGGTGATGTTAATCTCAATCAGTTAGTTAAGGTGGTGTCTGTCAGGTTTCACCACCATTAATACTCTTCCTTTCTGTAGTTAATAAATATCTTAGGAGAGATACTTGAAAACAAAATATCATGTTTCTTTTTCACACTTTTACCTAGTAATCTCAGCATCCATTGGTAAATCTTGCCTAAAACAGTTATTATAGGGGTTTTCTAAAAGATAGTGTTTCTTTCATTCC